ATTCGTGGAGCAACTTATCCTATCTTTTTAACGAGTGAATCAGTATCACCCATACTTTGCACAGCAGTTTGTATTAATTTGTCTTAACCTAATCATACGTTTCCACAACAATTGAGGCTAAATTTAAAAACGTTTCTTCATAAATTTATATAAAATTAAATACTATAAATCTCCTTCATGCGGAAAATGGTGTTCACAGCACTTGCCGCTTTTCACACACATATTACGTACGCATAATAATGTGACCTAGTGTAGAATTCTGTGCCTACGTCACAGCTCACCAAGGACACTTTTTAGTGGAAAAACTAGTTGTAAGAAATTAATCTTACAGTGAACACTTTTTTTCACTAAAAGTTCTCAAAAACAAGCGTTCAATAAGCATAATCTCGTGATAAGAAAAAAAAAAAAAGAAGTGACTGACTTGCTTTTAAAAGCGATATTGTCCCATCTGTAAACTTTAAAATCTATAGAAACCACCCACTGGGTTTTTGTTATTAGTATCTATTAAGGAATTTTCTAGAATAGAGCTAACAGGGGTTCGTAAAAATATTGATCTGTGAAGACAAATTGATACAAGTTGCTGTGCAAAAGCTGGAGAGTTTATGTTAGATAGTTGAGGAGATTGACAAAACGTTGCGCCACGAATTTTTAACCGCACTATTTTTTTGGTTCATTCCCCTTCCCTTCCGCATGGTGATGTTTCCATTGCCGTTTGCATAGTTAGGCGGTCTGCCTTCAATATGGATGGTTTTCTTGCGACCTCCTGCCCCTAAATAGGCCTACTATAGTGCAGTCAAAAATTCGTGACATTACTTACTGTCAAATATCTCATTAACTATTGAACCTAGATTCTCCAAATTTTGCACAATGACTTATATCAATTGTCTTACCTGATGAGTATTTTTTCAAATACCTGTATACTGTATTTTATAAAATTCCTTAATAAATAAATACTCATTAAAAAAATTCCAGTCGATGGTTTCTGCAGATTTTAAAAAGTTTACAGCTGGAGCAATGTCGCTTTTCAAAGCAAGTCTGTCGTATTATTGTTTTCTCTGATCGCGACATTATGAATATTGAACGCATGTTTTGAGAACTTTTATATTGTAAAACATGTGTTCCCTATACTTCTAATTTAATTTCTTTTAACAAAGTTTTGCCACTATTATTGTTATTATTATTATTATTATTAT